TTTGTCCATTCATCAAATTAAACTGGATGCTGAAATCGTAACCGGAATCAGAGGTCTTCTTTTGCCAGTTGACGACGGTCAATATACGACAGACAACTGACGACCGACGACAATAATACTAATAACAAATTAACGGTATTACTTTATCATGTAGGTCAGGATTTTTATGATCATTCTGTGGCCTACAAACCGGTCGTAAAACTTAGTTTAGATCAACCTGTATGCCAACGTGATCAGTAACATTTGAAATCATCTCTATTTACAAGTTTCTAACACGTATTTAAGGCCTCAGTTATTCACATTTGGTAATAAAAAAAAATACGACCTGTCCCTTTAGTTACGCTAAACACTTCCAACAATGAAACGCATGGTCGCCACAGACATCAAACATTTGTCTTCTACAACAAACGTTACAGTGCAAGACACACTGCAAGATTTCAAAGATGAAGGCGTTAACCCTGGATCGTGCGAATTTACTTTAGAGAAAAGCTTTGCAAAGCATGACAAATTTGGTGGTAGTTCCATCGTTTTCTTTTAGAGATAAATCTAACAATCGACTAAAACAATCGAGTTCGCTTTCACAAACTTGTTTTTCTTTTACAGACTTGTATCTTTATAAAATTCATAAGAAGATAGCACCTCAGCGACTTGTAATTTGAAGTTATCCATCAGTGACATCAAAACGCCTTCTTGTCGCTGAGCATTAAACATGGTCTGGACAATTTTTAGCGCTTCCACCTTTCCGCCCGAATGCCGACCCCCCGGGTCCTTCCACCCAGAGACGTGATCAGAATCTTTCTCCTGGGTGATGGCAGCATACACCTCGTTTACGTTGCTTGTCTGAGCGTAGGCTGGCCTGTCGTACTTTTCTCCCAACAGAATCAAGAGTAGAACAGCAAGGCTGTACGCACAGTGGGTTTGAAGAGTGCTCACCGTGTCAGGGTCAACCTTGCAGGCACCAGGATTCTTACGTGGTACGTGGAAAGGCGCTAAATTGTCGGGATAAGGGATTGAATCATCTCTTGGCTTGGAGACGTTTAGTTTTGCGTTCAGTTTAACATCAAGCTGTTAAGGGACAGACACTATAAATAAATGTGATTTAGACAATCTAGACAATAAATAATTTGTTCTTAAAATGATGTGTAGTTTTCGTGCAAATTCACTATTACAAAGTGCTACGTTTTAACGTATTTTGAGTTTTTTCCGCCCGCTTCCTGATTTTGTCTTTCGACATATAGCTGTTTCGACAAAGGTTGTCCCACACAAGCGTAAAAATGCCGATTGGTATCATGGCTAGTAATAGTCTGGCGTTGCTTGATTGAGGTTAACAGTGTTTCAGGAAGGAGAAGCATTAATACACGTGTTTGTGCTGTTTCCTTCTGTTATGAAATGCCTTCAGCTTCAAGTAACCGTTGGCCACCATTACTCATAATACCTTTCGACATTGTCGCGTACGCTTTTACACTTTTGTAGGACAACCTTTCTTTAAACAGCTGTATTTTACTTCGTCTACAGCTTGTCAGTGTGCAAAAAATTAAACATATATAAGCAAATCTCTCAAGAAGGAATGTTCACGGCTGACATCGAGCCATTGGTGGCACAAAATGTTTACGGTAGTGCTAGAAACGTGGTGCGGGTTTCTTTCTTTTGAAGTATTTTTAAACCCTTGAAACGTGAAGTGAATCAAGTGGATCAGTTTTATATTAGTAAATTTAACTTAAATACGGAGAAATGTTTATAGTTTTCTGATCACTTATTGTTGTTGCGATTTTGTCTACATTAGTATTCTGTGTATTTCATATCTTATCTCAGGCAGTTCTTTTAAAATAAGGAATCTAGAATGCTATATAAACTGGCCTAATTACTCAGATATCTCCTTTTTATACTTGTAGATATATTTAATTCTTTATTTTATTTTATTTTGATCATCTGTGTAATTGAATATGAGTAAATAAATAAATAAATAAATGAATAAATAAATAAATAATTAATTAATTAAGTCAATAACCCCGCCAAAATATCAGAAATTCGTCCCACGGTCCCCACGAAGATTGCCAAGGGAAAACCTGAAACTTGAAACAATCGAGGAAATGGGTAAAAAATTATAAATACCAGAACATTTGTAATCCTCAGGTCCACATGGTGAATGCCTCTGATCCAGCAGTTCTCGAGGGCGTCAGTCATTTGCTGTGCTATTCTTAATCCTCGGACCAGTTTGATGGGATTCTCCTGGCCACTCTGCAGACGGTCGAACAAGTCTGTGTTCATCCTTGGAAACAGGACAGTGACTTCATTGCTTCCATCCAGAATCAATGAAACAGGTTTTAAAATTGTGGAAATGTCTTCTTGAATCCTACAGGTATTAAAGGAAAAGTTTGACTTTTACCTCGACGTCCTAAAGAGCACATTTCTGTACGGACGCAATCGTCAGGCTAAAAAAATTAATTTTGGTCTCTCCAGAACAAAAAAATTTACACCGTAGAAATTTGTAAACAGAACAATGCACTGCCAGTCTGTACGCACATGGGGGTTTGGGATCAACGCAGACTTTGTGCCCCCCCCCACCCCCCCACCCCCGAATCCTGCCCTTTTTCCTAAACTGACGCTTTTTTGTGAGGCTTAATTAAGGCCTATCTGATTTTCATTTTTCATCATACTTATCAAAGACAAAGAAAACAGTACCCTAGGTGCCAGAGGGTTTTTTGTTTCGTAGCGAAAACGCTGTCAGTGAACGGCGAAGTGAGCCCTATGAGTACTCTGCAATAATATATCCTAACAGTATCAATGTAAAACAACGAAGAACCGGTTTCGAGAATGACAGAAGTCATCACCAAAAAAATAACATTTTTTTCGATAATAACATTAATTCTCTCAGCTAGAACCACACGAAATGTATAAGACCATTTAGGAGAACTTGCGTGTAGACCCTGGGGCTTAAAGGGATTTTATGTCTTAAAATGCTATATCTTACCTTCTTGAGGTTCTTGTAATGCCTAACAGGTGTTCATCTTGCTTTGCCTCGTCGCTGGTCAGTTGTTTTATTACTTGAAGCTTGTCAGACCTGTCCTCAAACACTTGACCTCTGTGACCCTTTCTTCCCACTCGAGCCCCAACCGCTGCTTTCCAGAGAACTTCACACGCCAGCGACTGATACAGAGCTTTAGCTTTGCACATCAGTCTTGCAAAGAATGGGGAGCGATCACAGGCAAATTTTCGCTGGACGTCTGTCTGCGTCGCGGCCTCTCGGCAAAATAGTCTCATGTGGGCCAGGTTAACTTCGAATAGCTTATGACCACTCTCGACATCTGATAGTATGTTAAAACTTATTCTGACAGCGATGGCATCACAGTCAACGCTATCTAACACACCTTTAGCAATATTCCTCTTCCATTGTTCATTGAGCGTGGTTCCTTTTCCCCTTATGGCGGACCACACGTCGCCAAAGACTTTCTTAGCGTCATCAATAAGTTTCACGCCACTTTTCATCAAGGCATAATCGAAATGAACACATGCGTTTCTATCTTGGAAATGCTGGAGAAAGCTGTACTCTAGTTGCTTCTTGACGAGGTTGGATAGACGACCCTCATCTCTCGTGACCTCGCTGAACTCACTTTCCAGAGTTTCCCGCAGCTTCTTTGTGATGGAAGAGACCGCCTTTCGTACGTTGTCCATTGCAATGTTCATAACCTTGAACAACACCATGTCTTTGATTTGTCTTCGACACTGTTCCACGACTTCGTTTCGCCCAACAACGTCTCCTATCTTAATTGCATTAAACTGCATTTGGCCTGCCTCAGTTTCGATTCTTTTCTCATTGATGCGGATGGCTTCTGCAACGATTGCGGCAAATTTAGACTGGTTTTTGCTAACATAATCTCTCATCTTGTTGACATACTGCAGTTCTTTCACTTCTAGCTCATCAAATAACTCATTCTGGGGAGGTATTCTATCTTCCTTGAAATCATAACTCAAGAAAANGAATCCTGCCCTTTTTCCTAAACTGACGCTTTTTTGTGAGGCTTAATTAAGGCCTATCTGATTTTCATTTTTCATCATACTTATCAAAGACAAAGAAAACAGTACCCTGGGTGCCAGAGGGGTTTTTGTTTCGTAGCGAAAACGCTGTCAGTGAACGGCGAAGTGAGCCCTATGAGTAATCTGCAATAATATCTCCTAAGAACCGGTTTCGAGAATGACAGAAGTCATCACCAAAACATAACATTTTTTTCGATAATAACATATATTCTCTCAGCTAGAACCATACAAAATGTAGAAGACCATTTAGGAGAACTTGCATTTAGACTCTGGGGCTAATTGTGTTTTTATGTCCTAAAATGCTATATCTGACCTTCTTGAGGTTTTTGTGATGCCTAACAGGTGTTCATCTTGCTTTGCCTCGTTGCAGGTCAGTTGTTTTATTACTCGAAGCTTGTTAGACTTGTCTTCAAACACTTGGCCCCTGTGACCCTTCCTTCCCACTCGAGCCCCAAACGCTGCTTTCCAGGGAACTTCACACGCCAGCGACTGATACAGAGCTTTAGCTTTGCACATCAGTCTCGCAAAGAATGGGGAGCAGGCGGAGGCAAATTTTCGCTGGACATCTGTCTGCGCCGCGGCGTCTTGGCAAAATAGTCTCATGTAGGCCAGGTTAGCTTGGAACAACTTATGACCACTCTCGACATCTGATAGTATGTTAAAACATATTCTGACAGCGATGGCATCACAGTCAACGTTTTCTAACACACTTTTAGCAATATTCCTCTTCCATTGTTCATTGAGCGTGGTTCCTTTTCCCGTTATGGCGGACCACACGTCGCCAACGACTTTCTTGGCGTCATCAATAAGTTTCACGCCAAATTTCATCAAGGCATAATCGAAATGAACGCATGCGTTCCCATCTTGGAAATGCTGGAGAAAGCTGTACTCTAGTTGCTGCTTGACGAGGTTGAATAGACGATCCTCATCTCTCGTGACCTCGTTGAACTCGCTCTCCAGGGATTCACGCAGCATCTTTGTGATTGAAGAGACCGCCTTTCGTACTCCGTCCATTGCAATGTTCATAATCTTGAACAATACCATGTCTTTGATTTGTCTTCGACACTGTTCCACGACTTCGTTTCGCCCAACAACGTCTCCTATTTTAATTGCATCAAACTGCATTTGGCCTGCCTCAATTACGATTATTTCCCCATAGCTGCGGATGGCGTTTGCAACGATTGTGGCAAATTTAGACTGGTTTTTGCTAACATAATTTCTCATCTTGTTGACATACTGCAGTTCTTTCACTTCTAGCTTATCAAATAACTCATTCTGGGCAGGTATTCTATCTTCCTTGAAATCATAACTCAAGAAAAAATCGAAGACTCTCTCTTGGATCTGACAGAGAAGTTCAGTGGCCGACTTCAAGTGTGCATTTACTCCAAAGGCGGCGAACGGTAGAAGCTTGGACTTCAGCACATCAAACTGCTCTGTATATCGATTGGTCTTTTTCTCCAGTCGAGCAAGTCTCACTTCTTTAGATGACAAACCTTGAAAGAATGGACATTCTGTCCACGGAATGTCTTTAGGCACCATTTGACATTCTGCAAGAGCTTGATAGACCAGTTGCTCTTTTTCCTCACCGCTGCTCGGGCTAGGCTCTTCATCGTCTTCCGAGTCAGAGTCTCTGTCGAATTCTTGAGCTGTTTTGTCTTTGTCCACCTTGTTGCACAAGTAAAAAATGGGCAGATTTCCAACTTTTTCCTTCAGCTTTAGAAGAAATCCTCTTTCCTTGAAAACGAGGAAGATAAATGACAAAACCGATTTAAACCAAATGGCCACACTTGGTACACAACTTCTGAAATAATTGGGACAATGTTAACTGCGATTAATCCACGTTGTAACGATAACACACAACTCTCAAAAACTTGTTATCAAGAAAGCGTGCGTCAAGTTCGAGGGAGAAACCCGGAGCAGTTTTCAATTGACACTCGTAACCGCCAAAGTAATCACTCTGGTCAATCACAAAGGAAACTGATAATCCAGCCAACCAGTCGAGCCCAAAAGCAAATACGTATCGTTATGGCGAAGCACGCGAAAACTTCTGCGAGCGAGTTACGTTTGTTTTTGGCTTTCCTTCTAATTGGATGGCAAAGTGGTCCGAGTCGTTAGAGCTAATTCGCTTAGGATAGCAAGGCAAGACCAAACCAAATGCGAATTATTGTTGACACTCAAGTAAAAACTGCCCTAAGATGACAATCTGTTAGCTCTGAATGGGCATGTTGGACGAGGGTTTTTTTCCTGCAAATCGTAGAGTTTAGTAGAACCAAAACGGAGGAAAACATATAACATAATATATAGATTTAGTCAAGCCTAAAAGCGGAGCTCCTAGGCTGGGTTGTTCAAAGCCAAGATAAGCGAGAATTTTGATTTGAGTTTTGTAACTTTACGGTGAGGATTTCCGTTTTTGTTGTTTTGGCCTTCTGTTTTGAGTTTGAATAATCTCAAGGTCCTCAAAATACACAAAACAAAAGCAATGAAAAACATTTGTATACAAGAAAAATTATACTTCGGTTAACTTTTATAATTCTGGGTTAGCGTTAAACGGCTTCCGAACCCGACATGAGCCCGCGATTCAATCGAAAACCAGCACTTGGTCACAGTCGGCGGTCAACTTCAAAACACGTGACCTCGATGAGCTCTAAACTTGAGCCCGCGATGTGGTTACGTGATACTGGTCAGCGGATACCATGTTTCTATAAGTGTCAATTGACGATAACATGGATACCCAAGATTAAAGAGGGACGCTACAAACCGAGAGTGCATGTCTCTGTCAACCTGTTAGCTGGAGTATGGCCGCCATCTTACGCGACTTCGTCGCCGTCGCCGTCGTCGTGCGTTTGCGCCCACGAGCAACACCGCTAGCCATGGTAAGCATGAGAAAATCAATTCATGGGTTTCCTTTTCTTTCCTATATGGGTATGGGGCTCCGCTTGGAGCTCCGCTATAATCCCCTCTACAGGATAAAAAGATTTTTTGGACATCAATAACCGTTTTAAGCAACACATGCAGCATTACTGACCTGTAATCTCAGAGAGGAATTCCCATCTACGACGTAAATGATAACTTGAAGAGCACCGTGAATGCACTCGTCGACAACCTTATCGAGGGCTTCGTTCTCGCTCATCCCAGGTGCATCAATAACTTCCAGATGGCCATTTTGGAGAAGCGAGTTGTTCAGACCCACTTCGACCACGGCGTTTATCCAGGACGGATCACCTCTCCTACTTTCATCCAGCTCTATTGCCTCTTTCGGTAGTTTCTTCTTACTGAAGAAATGCTTGTCCTCAGAAGGCCTAGACTCATCCAAAACCTTGCAATGTAAAAGCAATGTTTTGCTCAATTCTGTATGATTGACAGGTAATTGAGTCAGGTATATTAATCTTTTTTGCAAATGAGACGATTAAAACTTACAAAAAACAAACCAGGGTACGACAAAGTGGAATAATATAATACTGGTGGTGCTGAGTATGAGCATGTCATTCAAAATGTTAGAGTCCTAGTGTTGTGTTTATAGACAAAGCCCCTCTTTCCCTCACGTTGCCTCTCTCCATCCAGGTGTGTAAAAGGGTACCACTGAATTCTTGGAGGCACCTAACACGGGAAACGGATTAGCAGATGCGCTGTAAACGATTCATTAGTTTTTTACGTTTCTTTTTCTTTTCTTTTCTCACCTACATTTTGTAGTTATACTTAAGTTTGTAGGTCCACATCAGCTTTTTAGTTGCCTTTTAATGATCTACATGACAAATAAAAGTATGTATGTATCGAACGGAAGAGATACCATAATCCAGTCGTGCAAAAGGGCGTGCAAAAGGGTGCTACCGAATTGTTGGAGGCACCTGACATTGGAAACGGATAAGCAAATGCTGTATGGAGCGGAAGAGGTACCATCATCCAGGTGTGCAAATGGGTGCCTCTGAATTCTTGGAGCTACCTTGCAATGGATTATCAGATTCTGTATCGGGCGAGCGAGGTAACAACATTGGTAGTCGCTTCAGACTCAGAAGCGCATTGTTAGGCCTCTAGCAGTATGATTTCCAAGACTGCAAAACACTTAGTAGTTGATTAACTACACAACTACTACACAATCATAAAAGACACGAGATACCGAAGCATAGTCAATGTTTTGGCGATCAAAAGCTTTCGACGCTGTCACAGCGTCTTTCTCAAGTGGAAACTGACTTCAAACAGCAACATAACCCATTACCTGGACATAATTCTCTCGGCTGTATTTCAGACGAACTATGCGGGATGTACATGGCACTTCAGACGTTGGCATAAATGACCCACCGAGGAGTTCGTTAACAAATGAACTCTTTCCACTGTTCGTTTGACCAACAACTAATAAGGTAGATTTCTTGGCAGAATAAGACTCCAGACGTTGTCTTTCCGTGTCCGTCATTAAATCGGTTTTCAAGTTTTCATGCAGCGCTGCCTTCATGTGGTCAATAAACTGTTGTGTTTCCAATGAGCACTGTTCAAAGTAGGTGATGAGGGAGGTCAGTTCTTTGAACTGATCCTCAAATGAAAAAGCGACAACTTCTTCCAATACTGCATAGGCACCGTCACTAGGAGCTGCAATGAAGTAGTAATTTGTAACTGAGTCACTTCAGCGCAAACTCATGACAACAAGAAGATGACATCTGGTTATGCCGTAGTTCTCTGCATGGTAATTAATTTACTGGAATCAGAAAACATAAAAGGCTCTTTAAGCCAAATTTAAAATCTTTTAGTCTAACATTCTGTTTCGTTTGATGATTTTTTTGGTTAATTTTCGTTCTTTGGAGGCTAACAGTCCCGCGAATAAGCAAAGGATTCGGAAGAGTCAAAAATTGTGATCCTAACACTGGTAACGATAAGTAAACTGAATCGAGGACCCCTAAAGGTTTTGAACATTACTGAGAGCCCGGCGGGTAGTAGTCTTCCCGATGTCTTCTCGCTCTCAAAAGATAAAGCATTTGCGATTGTATTCCAAATAACAGAAAATCATACATCAAAGTTAAGATTATTGGTGAATTAGTAGAACCTGGTACGGGTAAGATTACCACTGCGCATGTACCAAGCGCACTTAGGAAAGGATGAGTGGATGTAGGTCTAAAGAAATGATATATAAGATTGAAAATAATATATATTTAGCCAGGCCTAAAAGCGGAGCTCCTAGGTCGGGTTGTTCAAAGCTCGTTAAGGTAACCCAGGAAAAGCAAGAATTTTGATTTAAGGTGGCTCCCTATAATTTTACAATCGCACGCGCGCTGAGGACGTAAGCTCAGGCAATCTGCGCGCGTTCGAAGGAAAACGTCTGTCTCTTTCGATATTTATGACGTCAACATGAGCTCAAAAAGCAAAACTGACAGTGAATTTTCTCGCGTTTCCTTCGGTGAAATTCCGTAGAATTTGGCAGACTGGCAGTAAACAGTGCACTTAAGTCGGAGCTTGTCTTTCAGGGAAATCTATGAGACCAGTTTTTTTACAGCGGTAAAAGACATAAATTTGCAAGAATCGAAAAAACTATTTGTACAAACCCTACTTTTTTCGTGTTTAAAATTCATATCCCGTAGGATGCCAAGTGCTGTGAAAATTCTGCAAGATTTCACCGAAGTAATTTCAAGAAAATTAAAACTAAACCCAAAATGATAGTAAAACACTATTTTGAGGACTGGGTGTAAAAACGAACGCGAAAACGGCATTCAAAACATAACGCTTACGCGCGAAACGCCAAAGAGGATTACCCTATGGAGCCACCTTAGGTTTTGTAACTTTGCAGTGAGGTTTTCCGTACATTGTAAACATTTGTATAAAGAAATATTTATACTTCAGTCAACTTTTAATCCTGGGTGACAGTTAACTGGCTTCTGAACAACCCAACCCTGCTTACAACAGGTTAACCTGACATGAGCCTGCAATCCAATCAAAAGCCAGCACTTGGTCAGTGGTCAACTTAGAAAAGCACACATGACCTCAGTGAGCTCTAAACTTGAGCCCACAATATGGTCACATGATACTGATCAGCAGATACCTTGTTTTGACAGGTGTCAATTGACCATGACATGGATGTCCAATATCAAAGAACGCTATAAACCAAGGATGCACATCTCTATCAACCTATTAGCTGGAGTTTGGCCACCATCTTGGGTGACTGTGTCGTCACTGTCACCGTGCACAGACACCCATGAGCAATACTGCTAGCCATGATAACCATGAGAAATCAATTCATGGGTTTTGTTTTCCTTCCTATGAGTATGGCGCTCCACTTGGCAGCCCATCGGGCCACCGGAGCCCGCTCCAAATTCTATAGTCACAAAATTGATGTATATACAGGTTTATACCAGAAAACAAAAAGAACAATGATTCAACTGGTCCAAATGAAGTAAAAATAACCATGTTCAGACACCAAACCTTGGCTAAGAATATTACTAGCTGAGCTTTCATCATTTGACATGACTGAAGCACAACACAATTATTTTTTTTCTGTATTTGCTCTTGTATTTTCATCATGTACAGAAATAATGTTATACCATAAAAATTTGATTA